GGACGGGCAGCATGATGAACGTCCTTGGTGGGGACCAGCACTACATTGAAGCCGGAATGGACCCCATGACGGGCAGTGCTCCCACCAACAGTACGTCGACTGTGATGGCCATGACGAAGATCCGGAAGGAGGTGATCACAATGGGCAATGCAATCATCGTAAGCAGAGGCGATGACCATACGGACGATGAAGACGACCACAGGGATCCGGACCTCTGTTCCTCAAATGTGTGGAATAAGAATGAATCCTCCTCTAGACCATGAGCAGGTGCACCGCCATCTGGGCATGCGCCTCAATGGCCACGACGATGATGACGGTCGTGATTACAGCAAGCACCACAGTAAGGTAAGCACTCCATCTCCCCTCCAACTCACCTTCCTCTCATAATACTCCCTAGCTTACTCTCAATGTCCGCTCACCGTCATCTTCCTCCCTTTGCTCCTTACTCGCGCACAGTCCTTGATCGTCATGGCGTCCAAACTAACGATCCATCGACAAACCTAACCTTCCCATTCACCTCGCAAGCTTAGGGGCAAAAAACCTGGTTAGCATGTTTCCTTGTTCGATTCTGTTGAGAATAGAGCGAGATACATGTTCTTCACTCCCGCTCTCCCTCTCTTTTCTTCTTTCGACTTCTCCGCACACCCTCTTTTCTCTCTATCTCCCACACCACAGCGTTAACACCAAAACTAACACCATGAACGAAGTCTACCCGGGTTAAAACCCTGGAAATGAGTCCTAGTTTGCTCGTTTCTATCAGGGATCGGCAAAGATATGGCCTCCTCTCACTTTTCTTTCCTTCTCCCTCGTCGCCTTCGTCAAGTCTTCTTCTTCTTCATGCTGATTTCAACTCTTCCCCTCCTCTATTCTTCTTTTGACAGCTGTGACCGCTTCAGCCCGTGGTCTGACAGCCCTGAGAATACAAACGAAGAAAAAAAGGAAACACTGCCTGTATAAGCAAGTAGATGTAATTCTTCTTTTGGCTACGGGCCTGGCCACTAGCGGCTCCAGTTCCATTCGAAACAGTGCTAGTGAAAATGCGCCTTTCCCTTTGCCTCGACTACGGTCCCATCGTTAGCCCAGCTCAAGCTTGGTTCAAGGTGCACACTGGTTCCTGCACATCTGATGGTTGTGCCACGTCGGTGGGGCCCGCGCTAAACTTCTTTGTATCTTTCCAATTTTAACAGATGTCCCGAAGGACGGGGCCAGGGAACGGCCCTGAGATGCGGTCTTGGGGCTGGTCGGTCCCAAGTAATTCAGAATGATGTAACAGTTATTCTGGTCATCTGGTTGACATATATCTGGATTCGAACTTGAGTCTGTGTTTCAGCAGTTCGAGGGTGCACCAACAGAGCTAGGCCCGTCGGTGCTGGTCCGACAGGCCTGTTTTTCAACAGTTCGTGAGTGTACCAACTGAGCTAGGCCAGCAGGTCACAGTCCCACAGACGTCTCTTCGGCGAAAAGGGAAAACCAAGGAGTCAACTGCTCCCTGGGCTTCCTGAACTTGGGCCCCTTTGCTCCCACTGCCGAACCTGGGTCTGCTACATCCAAAATGTGTGTTGAACCTACCGGGCTAAGGCCCCATTGCAATTGGTATGACACAACGCAAAAAGATTCCCAGTCCCGAAGAAGCAAACTCGAAGCTGCAGCGGAGTCATATGGAGGCACACTAGTGGCCTAGTAGGGCCTACGGGCCCTCGGTTCAACACCGGAAAGGCTTTGAGGCGCCGCACCTTTGGCGCATGGTTGAAAGACCTTGCTTTCACCTGTGGCGTGCCCTGCTGGTCGGACCCAGTGGCACCGAGAGAAACAAAAAGCAAGTAAAAAATACAAATTAAAATTAAGCAACGTTAAAAAACGAAAAATCATCTCTACGGGACCGTGGCTCCGTGAACTCGAGGCACCATTGCGTCTCATGTAAACGAGGTGCGCACCAATTAGCGCACCCTCTTTTTTTTTATTTAAATAAGGACATGCTCCAATCTATTCGTGGGGAGCAGCACATGCTGGGAATCGGGCCCAACGTCCCATATGAAGACATGTACAAAACAATTTATGAACCAATTGGCTATCGAATAGCTCGAAAAAGAGTACAGGTGACACAACAAATTATACATAGGTGGGAAAGAGACTCCCCATTGGAAAGGCGGGACTTCCTGCACTTCAGATGGTCCAGCTTTTCGCACATTAAACTGACCAACCACAGGGCGCTGCAATGGCAGATCATACACAGATGCCTGCCAACTCCGGACTGGTTGACATCAAGAACAGACTTAGAGGCAAAAGGGTTGCTCTCCCCCCTCTGCATGTACTACGTCAATTCCACACCACGCCAAAGAGCTACCCTGGAACACTGTCTACTTGACTGTCCGATGGTGTCTCAAGTCTGGTGTTGGTGGGACGCAGCCTGGCACTATCTTACGAAGGAACACCTACCATGGGATGTTCATACCCTCCTGCTGGGAGGTCCCCCAGAGGGCGCACTGAACTGGTCACCTTTTATGTCAAACCTATTCACATACTCCAGACTGACGGTGCTGATGGCGGCCTGGAGAATGTGATGTGCGTACGAAAGAAAACAACATGATTTTGGCTTCATGCAAGCACGGGCAACAATCATAAACACCATCACAGCAAATACACAAGCCGCCTGGAGACAGATGCAATCCCAGCTACCGAAAGAACCAGATGAGGCTAAAACACTCCTCATTCTGGAGAAATTCGAAGCCACCTGGACGGATGGCAATGGGAGACTGTGCACTCTTGACAACGCCCACTCACTCAAGTGGCAGCCCTGGCTGTCAACGGAGAGGCAGTGGGAAAGGTTGCCGAGGCACCACTTCCAGGTGGTCCACCAACCTACGAACTTCGTTCTAGTCCCGTCAGAAGACTGTGCCCAACACCACCAGCCTCCTTCAATCCCTC